ATACAGTCACACATAACATACACAAATACAAGGATATTATTCATTGCCAGACACAAACTTACAGGCACATACACTGCAGCAGAGCTGCAATCCTGAGATTGAATATCTCCAGTGAAATCCTCTAGAGCTGGAAAGAAGTGCTGTTTAGTGATAATAGTCCATTCCCCACTAACTGGACGACACACAGTTCTGGGAGTCAGCTGAGATTTATTGTGCCACACTGTTTTTTTATGCACAGATGCCCAGCATTGGGTCTCCATAGAGAAGTTCACAAGTCCCTTCCAGGCATCTCTGTGTTTGGGAGATAATTAAGTCCCTGGAGGGTTAACTCAAATATCTTTCAGTTACAGGACATAATACAAAATATCACAAAACACCCCAAAAACATATGAAAATTATACAGGAACCCCACAAGTCTTAAATCCTCTAATACCCCGTGTCATAGTGCTCAACATATCCAAATAGCGCTCTATCCGTTTGGTATAACAGAATCGCAATTCAGGTAAAGTTTTGATTGGCCTTTCGGGGGTTCCCATGTGAACACTGATGAATGCTCCCTCTGACTCTTAGGGAGCCAATGCTCCCCCAATCGGTAGTCCCTATCTCCTGAACATCATTCGTGTAGCTGGTCAGGAAGTTGTAGAGACAGCGGTACAATCTTTGACGGGGTTCACAAGATCGTGAAGCTGAAATGAGTTCCATGCACTTGACTACCAAGTACCGCTGCCTGTGTTCTGGAGACAAAATGGCCTCCATGCACTTGACCACATACATTTGGTTATACGAATGGCAGCCACCCAGGGAAAGCATTCGAGTTAATCCTTTAATTGCGGTTAACAGCTAGGTGTGGTCGGTGTTCTGAACTAATAAAAAGGAGGACCACACACGTTCTGTTCGGTCCACGAACACGGGGATACTTATAAATTTGGGAAACTTGGAGGTTCGGGCAACCCCACAATGCCAGATATGGACTGCAGTTTTGAATTTGTGGGTATCATCAGCATGGCGTCGGTTGTGGTCTGGAAGTTGAAGTCTGAGAGCATATAGCTAGGTGGCAAGAAGATTGTGGTGAGACCAAACTCTATACAACTCCCCACAGTGCAATTAGAATTAGAACAATCGAAACATATTGTTTTGCATACCTGCCCAGAGTACCCAAATATGACATTTTCAGATATGTTATCTACTTTCAATATGGCAGAAATTTGAGTAGTGAGACTGCATGGGCCTAATTTATACACAAAAACTGCTTCATTAAGCTAAAGCTGTTTTTGGTGACTATAGTGTTCATATAAGTAATGTGCTATCTATGCATACAAAAATAAGAATTAGCATCAAATACATAAATTGCGTAATACGTATATTAATTTAAATAAAAATTTCAGCGCTGAGTAGATAATCCCCTTAGAAATAAAAAAGGTGCATACATATGCAAAAAATGAAAAAATCAGGCAGAGAAAAGTGTCCAAAATATATAGTTCTGTAACAAAGTCCTATAGTGAGAAAGTCCAGATAACGTTGTGATATGTAGAAACTCAAAAGCATGTAGGAATACCTTGAGAAAAAAGAAACAAAAAAAGATACATAGCGTGATACTGTATCAAAATTTATTGCCCAGAATACAAATGGAAAAAATCCCCCCCAACTTCAAAACTCTTACATTAGATAAAATTTGGTACTCATCATAGTAGAAGTAGCTGATAAAGTTCTTTCAGAGCCGCTCGTGTTTTTCCCCCGAGGCAGCTCCTCTCCGGTGCACTCAGGAGGGCTGCTTGTGATATCTTCTATGGAGGAACGCTAACTGAAAGTCCGGCTTCTGTAGATAACTAAAAGTGTCTGCCGCAGATAAATCTTGCAGATAGACAGTAGTGGCACCCTATCAACGCGTTTCGCCCTGCTAACGAGGGCTTTTTCAAGATAGGTGCTCGGAGCATTATTCGGCAGTTTTATACTTGCCGGGTAAAACAAATTCAAATCTCTTAAGGGTATATACCCCTCTTAAAACACATGTAAAAAAAAAAAAACATATAAAAAAAGCTGCAATTTGTATAAACAAGGACAAAATACTTCCCAACAATAGATATAAAATACTGCACATAAAACACAATTATAAACTACTAAAAAAATAATAATAAATTTATACACAGATCCAAAACATAAAACAGTCACTATAACAGTGATTGCTATATACATGTTTATACATCTCACTCCTGAATATCAATTTCCTAACTCTTATAATATCGTGGGTATTACTTGATCATGATGTGTAAATAATAATCATTACATTCTTCACAGATGACCACAGAATATATAAATTTATCAGTAATTTTCATCAAGTTAGAAACCTAATAGCAGATAGTATCTCTAGAACTGTAAAAAGAAGAAAGTACTAGCTGGTATAGACTTTTGGCATAATAAACTATGTCTAATACAGTAAAAACAAGATAAGGCATCTCATAATAGTATATGTTTCTATATTATAGGAACTCCTAACATATCAATCAAAAATTATATAATTCTCTATAAAATATATATATATAAAATTCCTTGTAATATCAGTACCTATAGCAATACAACAATATAGATATAGGATTCCCAACCATTTGGGCATATAAATTACTACCTTAATCTGGACACTAAAAAATAGGGCAATAAACTAAATATTGTATATATGATTTACAGCATGGGCCGATATTAATGCTGATCCCATGCTATAGTATATTAGCTAGTTCCAGCTCTGCATTAAGACCCGAGGGGATCAGGGTCTTAAGTGTATAGATCCAAAACATCTCCCGGTATGTTAAGGATTTGCTCAACTCACCTCCTCTCCATGGTACTTCTACCCTTTCTATACCACAATATGAGAGAAGTGTAGGATCTCCATTATGGTGTGTTCTGAAGTGATTGGAGAAGGAATGTTTCTCAAAGCCCCTTTTAATGTTGTAAACGTGCTCTCTAAGTCTAATCTTAAGTGTTCTTTTAGTTTGACCCACGTATTGGAGGCCACAAGGGCACTCCAACTTGTAGATAACTTGTTTGGTATTACATGTGATACAACTCTTAATGTTAAACATTTCTTTTGTAATCGAGGATTGAAAGGTGGAATAATTTTTCCCTCTAGAGCTTAATTTGCATATATTGCAATTTCCACATTTATAGAATCCTTTTTGGCCAGTCAAAAAATGGTTGGGTCCTATAGGCTTATTATAACTATGTACCAGCCTGTCTTGCAGAGTGGGAGCCCCCCTAAAAATTACCGTTGGTTGTATAGGTAAAAGTGTAGCTAAAGCCGGATCCTGCCGAAGCAAATGCCAATGTTTTTGTATGCTTGTTTTTATGCAATTTGCTTGTGTGCTATAATTAAACACCAGAGGACACAAATTTTCTATGTCTTTATCTGTTTTAACTTTCTCTTGTTTGGTTTGTAACAGGGTTGCTCGTTCTATATTTTTCACTTTCTGGAGAGCTATCTCCAGTGTTTTCTCATTGTAATCCTTTTCCATAAATTGTTGTTTGACCTTTTGTGATTGTAGTTCATACACCTCTGGATCTGTGCAATTTTTTTTTAACCCTTAAAAATTGACCAAATGGGATACTCGATAGCCACGATGGATAATGGCAGCTCGAGGTCCAAATGTAACTATTAACGTCTACACTTTTGAAAAAAGTCTTAGACTTCAAGGTACAATGTGGATCAATATAAAGAACCAAATCTAAGAAATCTATCTCCGTGGAACTGTACTTGTATGTAAATGATAGATTATATGTATTGGTATTAATGTATGCTAAAAATTCAATGAGATCTGCCTCCTTCCCCTTCCACACAAAAAAGCAGTCATCGATGTACCGTCTATAGAAGACCAGGTTCGCTCCCCACTGGTGTCCCTGCCAAACAAACTGATTTTCCCAGTGAGCCATAAAAATATTGGCGTAACTGGGAGCGAACCTGGTCCCCATAGCGGTACCGTTGGTTTGAAGATATATATCGCTGCCATACCAAAAAAAATTGTTGTTGAGTATAAAATCAATACATTCAATTAAAAATTCTACTTGTTCCACTAACATGGTAGGTTCCTCATACAGAATTTTTCTTATTGCCTTAAGTCCCAATTCATGTTTAATTACAGTATACAATGATGTAACATCACAGGTTACCATTAACCAATCTTGTTCCCATTTTAAACCTTCTATACTTCTTAAAAGATCTCCACTATCTTTTAAGTATGACCTTGCTTTTTTAACAAAAGGTTGTAATATAACGTCAATATACTGGGATAGATTACATGTGAGAGATCCTATCCCAGAGATAATGGGCCTACCTGGAGGATTTGAGGGGCTTTTATGTATCTTCGGTAACTGGTAAAATACTGGTTTTTTGGGATATATAACCATAACAAACTCCAGCTCTTTTTTAGTTAATATATTCAAAAACTTTCCCCTCTCCAGTATACTGAATAGACGTAGTTTAGTATCTGGTGTGGGGTCCCCCTTGATCAGTTTGTACGTAAGGGGATCATTTAGGATTCTCTTGCATTCGGTATTGTAGTCCTTAGTGTTTAGGACCACAATTCCCCCTCCCTTATCTGCCGGTTTAATTGTGATCTCAGTATTATCGCTAAGTTCCTTAAGTGCTGTACGTTCCCATACACTCAAATTTTGTTTGTGTTTCGCTATTTTCTTAGGTAACTTTTCTATGTCTGCAGTTACTGCCAGATTAAAGGCCGACATGGGGCCACTAATTTGGTTCAGCGGATAAAAGGTTGAATTATTCCTTAGAGTTGTATGGTGAAAGGTACTATACTCTAATTTTGGTGCCATATGGACCGGGTTGTTTAAAAAGAATTTTTTTAGGGTCAATTTTCTCATGTATTTTTGCACATCTAAGAATGCTGTAAATGGATCTGATTTCACCGTGGGAGCATATTTTAGTCCCTTGTTAAGCACTTTAATTTGATTTTTAGTTAAATTAACCTCAGACAAATTAAAAATTCCTATTTGTTCTACTTTCTCATTTTCTTTTCTCCTACGATATCTCTTCCCCCCCCTGCATCCTCTAAAAGAGGTCTCTTTCTGGTGCTGGGTTTTGGAGGCTCTGGTTGGTACCGATTGAAGTATTGGCTTCGTGGTCCTAAAAAATCGTTCGAAGATTGTTGAGTTTCTTTTCTATTTTCTTTTTCAGCTATATTATTCGCCTCCTCTGTACGGAGTGTCTCAAACCTATTACGTGGGCGCCAACTATGGTTATGATGTTTAACCCTAGGTGTTGTGTCACCTTGGCTGCCCTGTGGTCTATAGGGATTCCTTCTTTTATTATAAGTGATAGTGGTCCAGTCACCGTTCCCAGCCTTCTTTGGAGTATATTGTCTCAACTTGAGATCTCCCCTTTCAGTCTGGTTGTAGCCTGACATATTATCTGGAGCATGGGCATTTTTATAATATCCAGAATTCCTAGGGGCATTGTATTTCTTACCCCTAGGTATGGATTTATAGGGTCTCTCATTGTGAGTTCTCTTATAGTTTCTCACTTTATTGTCCCTAAAATCCTCTTGGTCCCTATCAAATTTACGTTTTTTTAAGGACACAGTTTCTTCAAATACAGAACTTAATTTTCCCTTTATTTTTTCCATAAGTTGTATACATTCTGGCAGTGCCAGATGGGGAGAAAGAATTTCTTTTATATTATTGATCTCCTCATCTAGGACTGCTAGCATACGTTTCCGTTTGCAAATAATATGGCTCATAAGCTCAAAAGAGCAATGATCCAAAATTCTATCCCAGACAATGTTAAAATCATCATCCTCTTTATCCGTAGCGGATTTTAACATTATACGCAAACCTCTCGGAATGATGCGTCTCTCCCAATATTGTTCTAGGGAGGCTATTTCTAATTTTAATTTCATTTCCTTAATAATCAACTTCTCAAGTTGGAACACCTGTTTTCTCCAGTGTGTATCCTTTACCATAACATGTTCGTTATGGTCATTTTTTAAAGCAAGGTCAATCTTGCACTGTTCTCTAAACGTGAACAGGGACATATTATTGTAATGTGCTGCTACTCTTATACGGGAAAATACAAAATACAATATAAATAATTAAAAAGAGAGCGCATGTATTACAAAGTAGAAAACCTATGTAATAGTCTATATATATTTAAAATAAAACTATAAAAAATAGTACCCAATGTACTCAAACAGTATTAGCTGCTAAAACAAAAAGAATATTCCCGATTCCAAAAAACAAATGTAAATAAAAATTTCAGCGCTGAGTAGATAATCCCCTTAGAAATAAAAAAGGTGCATACATATGCAAAAAATGAAAAAATCAGGCAGAGAAAAGTGTCCAAAATATATAGTTCTGTAACAAAGTCCTATAGTGAGAAAGTCCAGATAACGTTGTGATATGTAGAAACTCAAAAGCATGTAGGAATACCTTGAGAAAAAAGAAACAAAAAAAGATACATAGCGTGATACTGTATCAAAATTTATTGCCCAGAATACAAATGGAAAAAATCCCCCCCAACTTCAAAACTCTTACATTAGATAAAATTTGGTACTCATCATAGTAGAAGTAGCTGATAAAGTTCTTTCAGAGCCGCTCGTGTTTTTCCCCCGAGGCAGCTCCTCTCCGGTGCACTCAGGAGGGCTGCTTGTGATATCTTCTATGGAGGAACGCTAACTGAAAGTCCGGCTTCTGTAGATAACTAAAAGTGTCTGCCGCAGATAAATCTTGCAGATAGACAGTAGTGGCACCCTATCAACGCGTTTCGCCCTGCTAACGAGGGCTTTTTCAAGATAGGTGCTCGGAGCATTATTCGGCAGTTTTATACTTGCCGGGTAAAACAAATTCAAATCTCTTAAGGGTATATACCCCTCTTAAAACACATGTAAAAAAAAAAAAACATATAAAAAAAGCTGCAATTTGTATAAACAAGGACAAAATACTTCCCAACAATAGATATAAAATACTGCACATAAAACACAATTATAAACTACTAAAAAAATAATAATAAATTTATACACAGATCCAAAACATAAAACAGTCACTATAACAGTGATTGCTATATACATGTTTATACATCTCACTCCTGAATATCAATTTCCTAACTCTTATAATATCGTGGGTATTACTTGATCATGATGTGTAAATAATAATCATTACATTCTTCACAGATGACCACAGAATATATAAATTTATCAGTAATTTTCATCAAGTTAGAAACCTAATAGCAGATAGTATCTCTAGAACTGTAAAAAGAAGAAAGTACTAGCTGGTATAGACTTTTGGCATAATAAACTATGTCTAATACAGTAAAAACAAGATAAGGCATCTCATAATAGTATATGTTTCTATATTATAGGAACTCCTAACATATCAATCAAAAATTATATAATTCTCTATAAAATATATATATATAAAATTCCTTGTAATATCAGTACCTATAGCAATACAACAATATAGATATAGGATTCCCAACCATTTGGGCATATAAATTACTACCTTAATCTGGACACTAAAAAATAGGGCAATAAACTAAATATTGTATATATGATTTACAGCATGGGCCGATATTAATGCTGATCCCATGCTATAGTATATTAGCTAGTTCCAGCTCTGCATTAAGACCCGAGGGGATCAGGGTCTTAAGTGTATAGATCCAAAACATCTCCCGGTATGTTAAGGATTTGCTCAACTCACCTCCTCTCCATGGTACTTCTACCCTTTCTATACCACAATATGAGAGAAGTGTAGGATCTCCATTATGGTGTGTTCTGAAGTGATTGGAGAAGGAATGTTTCTCAAAGCCCCTTTTAATGTTGTAAACGTGCTCTCTAAGTCTAATCTTAAGTGTTCTTTTAGTTTGACCCACGTATTGGAGGCCACAAGGGCACTCCAACTTGTAGATAACTTGTTTGGTATTACATGTGATACAACTCTTAATGTTAAACATTTCTTTTGTAATCGAGGACTGAAAGGTGGAATAATTTTTCCCTCTAGAGCTTAATTTGCATATATTGCAATTTCCACATTTATAGAATCCTTTTTGGCCAGTCAAAAAATGGTTGGGTCCTATAGGCTTATTATAACTATGTACCAGCCTGTCTTGCAGAGTGGGAGCCCCCCTAAAAATTACCGTTGGTTGTATAGGTAAAAGTGTAGCTTAAGCCGGATCCTGCCGAAGCAAATGCCAATGTTTTTGTATGCTTGTTTTTATGCAATTTGCTTGTGTGCTATAATTAAACACCAGAGGACACAAATTTTCTATGTCTTTATCTGTTTTAACTTTCTCTTGTTTGGTTTGTAACAGGGTTGCTCGTTCTATATTTTTCACTTTCTGGAGAGCTATCTCCAGTGTTTTCTCATTGTAATCCTTTTCCATAAATTGTTGTTTGACCTTTTGTGATTGTAGTTCATACACCTCTGGATCTGTGCAATTTTTTTTAACCCTTAAAAATTGACCAAATGGGATACTCGATAGCCACGATGGATAATGGCAACTCGAGGTCCAAATGTAACTATTAACGTCTACACTTTTGAAAAAAGTCTTAGACTTCAAGGTACAATATGGATCAATATAAAGAACCAAATCTAAGAAATCTATCTCCGTGGAACTGTACTTGTATGTAAATGATAGATTATATGTATTGGTATTAATGTATGCTAAAAATTCAATGAGATCTGCCTCTTTCCCCTTCCACACAAAAAAGCAGTCATCGATGTACCGTCTATAGAAGACCAGGTTCGCTCCCCACTGGTGTCCCTGCCAAACAAACTGATTTTCCCAGTGAGCCATAAAAATATTGGCGTAACTGGGAGCGAACCTGGTCCCCATAGCGGTACCGTTGGTTTGAAGATATATATCGCTGCCATACCAAAAAAAATTGTTGTTGAGTATAAAATCAATACATTCAATTAAAAATTCTACTTGTTCCACTAACATGGTAGGTTCCTCATACAGAATTTTTCTTATTGCCTTAAGTCCCAATTCATGTTTAATTACAGTATACAATGATGTAACATCACAGGTTACCATTAACCAATCTTGTTCCCATTTTAAACCTTCTATACTTCTTAAAAGATCTCCACTATCTTTTAAGTATGACCTTGCTTTTTTAACAAAAGGTTGTAATATAACGTCAATATACTGGGATAGATTACATGTGAGAGATCCTATCCCAGAGATAATGGGCCTACCTGGAGGATTTGAGGGGCTTTTATGTATCTTCGGTAACTGGTAAAATACTGGTTTTTTGGGATATATAACCATAACAAACTCCAGCTCTTTTTTAGTTAATATATTCAAAAACTTTCCCCTCTCCAGTATACTGAATAGACGTAGTTTAGTATCTGGTGTGGGGTCCCCCTTGATCAGTTTGTACGTAAGGGGATCATTTAGGATTCTCTTGCATTCGGTATTGTAGTCCTTAGTGTTTAGGACCACAATTCCCCCTCCCTTATCTGCCGGTTTAATTGTGATCTCAGTATTATCGCTAAGTTCCTTAAGTGCTGTACGTTCCCATAC